TCTAAGGTTCACATAAATCCGAGGTAAGTGACGGGTCTCTTGGGACTGGATGCAACCTGACTATTTTGTCATCTTTGGTGTAAGTGAGTGTTTAGCACTAAATCCAGCTTGCCTGGGTAGCAAGAGAGGCGGCGTGTCTGCGAGTTCGTGATCGAACGTGGTGGCACTTTGAGCATTTCCATTTGATCCTGGGTTGGTGACATCTACACTGCCAGTCTGGGGTGTCTGCCCTGCCTTTAACAGCCTGCCCCCAGGCTGGCATCCTGGGTCACGAGCCACAACAGACAAGGGGCTCTTCGTTCTAGCAGAGCAAGTTAGAACGTGATCCAATGGCCCGATGTCAAAGCTAGACACATTCAGCCGGCACTAAGGTGTGACTTGTAACAGGAGGCCATTAACCATTGGCACGAGGTCCCAAGGGGCGGGGTGGATTGTTGATCCCAGACCACTTTGAATCCAGGCTGGTGTTAGGGGACTAGCTCTGCTCTAGGAAGAGGTTGGGGGCAGTTCTCCAGCCTGAGTGATTCTGAGGTCGGACAAGAGGATCTCAGTGATCCCTTCTGGCCCTGGAGTCTGTGAATTGACACCAGTGGGAGCAGAGACAGGCCAGATCAGAGCACTGCAGAAACCCCTCACTCCCACCCCCGACTGTACGATGCAAGCGAGGAAAGTCCTTGTGCTCATCTCCATCCCTGGCAGTTTGTGACTCCAGAGCCGATGCTTTCCTCTGAGAGCTGCTCTAGATCATGCAGGAAATAACCCAGGGCCGTGTTAGACAAGAAGCTAGAGACAATGGCCACGGAGCCCCTCTGGCTTTAGATTCGACGAATCATTATAGGCCTGGTGCTGGAGCCCTCCGGATGTCGCGTGGCCCTTCTTATGCAAGCAGTGGTATGAACCAGTGGGATGGCTCAGGTGAGCAAGCAGCATCCATCACGAATACGGGATGCAGAGCTAGACCCTGTGGTAGCATCTCCGGGGCGGGATACAGAGCTCCTAGTACAAAACCCATTTAATGGAGGAAACAAAAGGATCTGGTGCTCACTCTCCTGCATCCGGCCTTAAAACGTGCTGCGTGCACCTGTGCTGGTGGCTCCCAGATGCTGTGCAGATGCAGCACCAGAAGCAGCTCTTTCCTCGTGGTCCGTGCAAACAACAAGGCTTTGCACACTCATGTCTATCGTCTGGACGTGCCTGTGTTTGCTGGGAGGCAGCTGCAGATGGCACATCCCTGTGCTGCTCTCTGGCCAAGAGCCCCCAAGTACCGGTTAGGTTTATGGACATTCCATGTTTTGGATTCTCCAGCCCTGCGACGAGGCTGGAGGCCCCCCTGGCGGGGGTGAGTGATGTCAGAAAGCCTCGATCTGACTTTATCCTCAGCTGGAGTGAACGAGCACAGCTCCACCAGCACCCTGGCAGCTCTTACGGCGTGTGGCAACGCTCCAGCTGCGTCCTGAGGGGCCTGCACTTTGGGTGGACAGTGTTTGTCTCAGAGGCTCGCTGTGACCCTCCACACAGCCCCTTGCTCTTTACTGGAGGCAGGAGCCACGGCCTGCTGAGCCTTTCTCATCACAGGCTGGGCCATCGTTTGGCGTGAAAGCCCCTCCATAGTCCTAGTCTCCCTGCGCGGGGCAGACGCTGCAGTGGTGTGAGAGGTTTGGGGGGAACCCAGGCCCATCCGCTGCTCCGTGTTCTGGCCCAGGGACTGGGAGGCAGTGGCAACAGACAGGGTTTCTTTTGCTCCCAGTTTGGCAGCTTCTACCCTGGACCATTTCCCTAAATGACCCCTCCCAACACAGTTCCTCTGGTCCCTGTGCAAGATAGTCCTGCTCCTCCATGGCCCTCTGCCTTACTCGCAGGCCTCCGCTTGCACCCAGGGCACCTTCTCACTCTCAGATTTTGGGCTAAATGCCCTCCCTTATAGGCAAGCCCCAGCAGGCCTTAAGGGACTGAAGATGCTCTGATTAGCCTGCAGCTTCCAGCAAGCTCGCAATTGGCCTCAGGTGCCTCCCTGGTTGTGCTGCACTAGACTCAGCCCTGGTTACTCAGGGAAGAGAAAACTGTTCCCCCAGATCCCGGTATGTCTTCCCTCCTACGGGCCACTGAGGCTCTCCAGGACATGCAGGGGATCTCTCTGCTGAAACCTAAAGCAGCTACCACTGTATTTCTCCAGCGGACAAGGGGGAGCTGAGATGCCGCTGGTTGGGGCAGGGCTACTGAGGCTTCGTAGGGCTCCCGAATCCAAAATTCCGGTTTGTTAGCAACTTCCTTGCCAGATTACCAAAGCCTTGAAAGGCTGGGAGAGTGGGATGGAGAGACTCACATCACCCCACTGAACGCTGGGCAGGAGGGACAGGAAAGAGGAGAGCAGAGACGCTGGATTCACGCTGGGGTTTGGCTGAAGGATGTGAGTGTGAGAGAATAGACCTGGCCAGGAAGGGTTGTGGGCCCAGGCATTACACACCTCCCCGTGGGCCCCATAGGCTGGGGAGGGCACGGGCGGCTTTTGCCCTCTCTGCTGGCATCTGTAAGACAGACTTTTGCAGGCTCTGAGTGAGATCCACAGGGATCCACCCAGGTACCACAAATTCCCATGAGCATCCCTACGGACAGCAGCCTTTGTGGGAGCTGTTGAGGTCATTTGAAGTGTGTGTCAGCATGGTATTGGCCAAAGAGATGTTTTCAGGGTGTTTTGCATAAGAGCCCAGAGCACTGGAGTGACCCTTTGGGGATAGTGGAATGGATTAATTAACCCAGGCTGGATCTCCAAATAAGCCAGTCAGGTACTCAACTCCCATTGCATTTCAATGGGAGCCAGGGCCCAGATTATCTAAGAACATAAGAACAGCCAGACTGGGTCCGACCAACGGTCCATCCAGCCCAGCGTCCTGTCTGCCGACAGTGGCCAATGCCAGGTGCCCCAGAGGGAGTCAATCGCACAGATACTGATCAAGCAATCTCTCTCCTGCCATCCAGCTCCACCCTCTGACAAACAGAGGCCAGGGACACCATTCCTACCCATCCTGGCTAACCTCCATGAATTTATCTAGTTCTCTTTTAAACCCTGTTATAGTCCTAGCCTTCACAACCTCCTCAGGCAAGGAGTTCCACAGATTGACTATGTGCTCTGTGAAGAAGAACTTCCTTTTATTTGTTTTAAACTTGCTGCCCATTAGTTTCATTTGCTGGCCCCTACATCTTATATTATGAGAACAAGTAAATAACTTTTCCTTATTCACTTTCTCCACACCACTCATGAGTTTATAGACGCTATCCTATCCCCTCCTTAATCTCCTTTTTTTCAAGCTAAAAGTCCCAGTCTCTTTAATCTCTCCTCATATGGGACCGGTTCCAAACCCCTAATCATTTTAGTTGCCCTTCTCTGAACCTTTTCTAATGCCAGTATATCTTTTTTGAGATGAGGAGACCACATCTGTACACAGTATTCCAGATGTGAGCGAACCATGGATTTATATAAGGGCAATAAGGTATTCTCCATCTTATTCTCTATCCCTTTTTTAATGATTCCTAACATCCTGTTTTCTTTTTTGACTGCCACTGCACACTGCGTGGATGTCTTCAGAGAACTATCCACAATGACTCAAAGATCTCTTTCCTGATTAGTTGTAGCTAAATTAGCCCCCGTCATATTATATGTATAGTTGGGGTTATTTTTTCCAATGTGCATTACTTTACATTTATCCCCATTACATTTCATTTGCCATTTTGTTGCCCAGTCACTTAGTTTGGTGAGATCTTTTTGAAGTTCTTCACAGTCTGCTTTGGTCTTAAGTATCTTGAGCAGTTTAGTGTCTTCTGCAAACTTTGCCACCTCGCTGTTTAGCCCTTTCTCCAGATCATTTATGAATAAGTTGAACAGGATTGGTCCTAGGACTGACCCTTGGGAAACACCACCCCTCTCCATTCTGAACATTTACCATTTATTCCTACCTGTTGTTTCCTGTCTTTTAACCAGTTCTCAGTCCATGAAAGGCTCTTCCCTCTTATCCCATGGCAACTTAATTTATGTAAGAGCCTTTGGTGAGGGACCTTGTCAAAGGCTTTCTGGATCTAGTCAAAGGCTTTCTAAATCAAAGGTATTTAGATCTTTGAGGAGCTGGGTCTATGTGCCTAACCCCCTTAGGCCACTTGGGAAATCCCAGCCTACATGTACAACACTAAAAGCCATACTGAGATCTCTGTCCTTTAAGAAAAAGACAAGTGCCTGGGTCTGGAGAGACCACCTTAACTCCACATTTATTTTGAAAATTTCTACAGAAGCTAAAGAGCCCTAATTGTTCATTCACTACAGGCTCAGGAGGCGAGAATCAATTTTGCTGAAGTCAGAATCCACTCAGCAATCATAGACATGGGCAGCTTGGAGGCCCGAGTTCCATCTGGTGTCTTCACGGCTGCGTCTTTACTTGAAAGTCAGCTGGCTGCCCTGAGCCAGAACCGGGGGAGGGTGGGGCAGCAGCGAGGCAGAGAAACTGAGAGGTCACAGGAGTCAGCGGTAAGGAGTGCAGGCTGCTAGCACAGAGAGACTGAGGAGGGTGAGAGGGGGCCGACGGGCAGAAGGTGGTAGTCTGTTGGGGGAGGGTTGGTGGTGCCGCCTCCAGCCAGAGGCAAGGTGGGAATGTGGCAGGAAGAAGGAAACGGGCTGGGAAGGATGGAAGCTGAAGGGATAAAGCAGAGACTCTGCCTCACTCTCAGGGTACAAGTGTGCCTGGCCACCAGCTGAGAGGCTGGCCACTGCCAGCATTCAGCATCCCGAGGGGAATGGCTCATGGTTCGGGAGCAGGCCTTGGCCATGCAGGAGGCGGTCGGGGAACGCCGGGGATGGGAGCAACGCTGGAGAGTGTGGAAGCTTCCAACGCCAGCCCCCTCAGCACTTGTGCCCGAGGAGCGGGTGGGACCCTTTCCTCTTCGCAGGTCTGTCCGTGGCTGGGGGAACGGAGCCCACGTCCATTATCCGTTGGGATTCCCCAAGCACTTCACTACCCAGCGCCCCTTCGAGTCTGCACTGGGTGCCTGGTCTGCCTGCAGCAACTGGCACACTTGGGACCTGATTCTGAACAGTCGCCACTGCTCTCAACGCGGGGGAGCTCAGACTCAGGGCAGGCCCCTTCTCACGAGCGGGCAAACGAGCTTTTCCTGCTGGACTGGTGCAAAATGGAATAAGGAGACCCAATCCGAACTGATGCCCCTCTGGATGGATCGTTATTAAGCAGGCGCCGGCCTGGAATGTCTATCATCATGCTGACACAGCACCTTCTCCAGCACATGCTCATAGCTTGCACGCATGACGCCGGGCTCTGTGTGCAGCACTGCCATGCTGCAGACCACTAGAGCAACGCCCATTAATTCCCCTGAAAACACAGCCAGGCCCAGGAAAATGGAGTGAGAGAATTGCTTAAGGTCAAAGACAACTAGAATCAGAATCACCGACGATCAGGGCTGGCAGAGACCTCCGGAACACGTCTAGTCCAGCCCCCTGCTCAAAGCAGGACCAGCCCCAGCGAAATCATCTACATCTCCGTCGCAAGCTGGATTCTAATACGATGCCTTCGCTTCAAAAGCAAACCCAGAGAAAAGGAGTGATGCTGCATAGATGAGCCGGCCTCGGCCCCGCAATCTCAGATGCGTTGGTTGCTTTGGGGAAGCAGCAGACACAGAGAGGGACCAAAGGCAGGTATCCTTGGAGACACGACTATTGAATTACACACGGGAGTTTATCACATACATCCGCCCGGTGCCAGTTCTCCCAGAGGGGCAGTTGGATCTTTGAGATCTCCTGAGGGGTCTAGCATCTGACAAAGAGAAAAGATTTAAAATAATTTGAGAGAGATTATAACCTAGAGCAGAACCAAGTCAAAGGATTCATTCTTATTTACATGCCAGCAGCTCCTAGAGGCCCCAGTGAGGTCAGGTCCTTGTGACAGGCGCTGCACAGACGCAGAGTGAGAAACGCGCCGTGAAGACCTCAGCGTTCACTTAGACTCCAGCGACACGTCCAACCTGGAGTGTAAAGTCCAGCTGGAGGGGCTGTGCCTGCCCTAGTTCTAGTCATAGAATCATAGACCATTAGGATTAGCAGAGACCTCAAGAATCATCAAGTTCAAGCCCCTGCCCCAAGCAGGACCAACACCAACACAATCAGCCCAGACAGGGCTTTGTCCAGCTGGGGCTTAGGGTCCACCACCTCCCCAGGGAACCCACCCCAGTGCCTCACCACCGCCCCAGGGAACCCACCCCAGTGCCTCACCAACTCTCCAGGTTTTCCTAATATCCAACCTAGAGCTCCCCCACTGCAACTTACATAAGAACGGCCGGACTGGGTCAGACCAAAGGTCCATCTAGCCCAGTATCCTGTCTGCCGACAGTGGCCAGCACCAGGTGCCCCAGAGAGGGTGGACCGAAGACAATGATCAAGCGATTTGTCTCCTGCCATCCCCCCCCCCCAGCTGCTGACAAACAGAGGCCAAGGACACCATTTCTATCCCCTGGCTAATAGCCTTTTATGGACCCAACCTCCATGAAATTATCTAGCTTCTCTTTAAACTCTGATATAGTCCTAGCCTTCACAGCCTCCTCTGGCAAGGAGTTCCACAGGTTGACAACATGCTGTGTGAAGAAGAACTTTCTTTTATTAGTTTTAAACCTGCTACCCATTAACTTCATTTGGTGTCCTCTAGTTCTTCTATTATGGGAACTAATAAATAACTTTTCTTTATCAGCCCTCTCCACACCACTCATGATGTTATAGACCTCTATCATATTCCCCTTCAGTCTCCTCTTTTCTAAGCTGGAAAGTCCCAGTCGTTTTAACCTCTCTTCATATGGGACCCATTCCAAACCCCTCATCATTTTAGTTGCCTTCCACTGGACTCTCTCTCTGGACATTTAGGTGCCTAACTCCCATTGATTTAGTTAGTTAGATGTTTAAATAGCTCTATGAATCTGGGTCCTAGGGTATTTAGGAGCCTAGGGGTATTTCAGTTGCATGTAGGGGCCCAAGTGGAGATTTAGTTAAAACAAATATGACCTGGATGAATGGATAGTAAAGTGGATAGAAAACAGGCTAGAACAGTGGGCTCAGTGGGTAGTGAGCAACAGCTCACTGTCTGGTTGGCAACTGGTATCTAGCAGAATGTCCAAGGGTTCAGTCCTGGGGTTGGGTTTGTTCAACAGCTTCATTAATGACCTGGATGAGGGGATGGGTTGCACCATCAGCAAGTTTGTGGATGACACTAAGCTAGGGGGTGAGGTAGATAAGCAGGTAAGTTGAAGATTCCAGAGTGACCTAGACAAATTGGAGGGTTGGACAAAAAGAAATCTGATGAGGTTCAACAAGGACAAGAGCAGAGTCCTGCCCTTGGCAGGGAAGAATCCCAAGCACTGTTACAGGCTGGGGACCGACTGGCTAAGCAGCAGTTCGGCAGAAAAGACCCTGGGGATTCCAGTGGATGAGATGCTGGATATGAGTCAACAGGGCGCCCTTGTAGCCAAGAAGTCTGACAGCACATTGGGGTGCAGTAGGAGGAGCCTTTCCAGCAGATCTAGAGAAGTGATTAGTCCACTTTATTCGGCTCTGGTGAGGCCTCAGCTGGAGTATTGCCTCTAATTCTGAGCCCCCTAGTGCAGAAAGGATGTGGACGCACTGGAGAGGGTCCAGCAGAGGGCAACCAAAATGATCCTACGAGGAGCGGCTGAGGGATTTGGGTTTGTTCAGTCTGCAGAAGAGAAGAGTGAGGGGGGATTTGAGAGCAGCCTGCAACGTCCTGAAGGGGGTTCCAAAGAGGATGGAGAGAGGCTGTTCTCAGTGGGGGCAGGGGGCAGAACAAGGAGCAATGGTCTCAAGTTGCAGTGGGGCAGGTCTAGGTTGGAGATTAGGAAAAACTATTTCACTAGGAGGGTGATGAAGCCCTGGGCTGGGTTCCCTAGGGAGGGGGTGGAATCTCCATCCCTAGAGGTAGTTAAGTCCCCGCTTGACAAAGCCCATCTGGGATGGTTTAGTTGGGTTGGTCCTGCTGTGGGCAGGGGGCTGGACTTGATGACTCCTGAAGTCTCTGCCCGCCCTGGGATTCTATAATTCTGTGAGCCCACATGAAAGCTTCTGCTCAGTAGTCAGCAGCTCGGCCCATCCAGCCTGCTTGTCCTTTCACTGCTTGACCCAAGGGTGGGGGGAAAGGCATTACGGAGCCTGCGTTGAGGTGCATGCCTCCAAACCCGACTTCCCAACGGGAAGCACTTTTTCCGGAAAAGCGTCTGTGGCCAATGTAGACGCGCTTTTCCGCAAAAAATCCCCGATCGTCATTTTCGCGATCGGGGCTTTTTTGCGGAAAAGACTGCTGGGCTGTCTACACTGGCCCTTTTCCGGAACAGTTTTTCCGGAAAAGGACTTTTGCCTGAACGGGAGCAGCATAGTTTTTCCGGAAAAACACTGACCATTTCACAGTAGATCGTCAGTGCTTTTCCGGAAAAGCAAGCGGACAGTGTAGACAGCTGGCCACTTTTTCCGGAAAAGTGGCTGCTTTTCCAGAATAAGTGGCCCAGTGTAGACACAGCCCTGATGTTTCTGAGCTTCACCCTCTAATTTATTTCCCTGCCGAAAGATACTAAATAATAATAAGCTTGTATTAAAACAGAAACACGGTCTGTGCTCTCGGAGGCATGGTCTTGCCTAGGAAAGGGATGGCTGTGTTCTAATTTAGGCGAATCCAGAACTGTAGGTGGGACTCTACATCGGTCTAGGAGAAAAGGCTGAGTTTACGTCCGATTTAGCTTGCGCGTGGCAGCGAAATCCAACCTACACTCCACCATTTTCCCTAACCCCAAAAAGGTCTCGACCCTGCATGCAAAGCAGCACGGTTAGCATCGACTGATCAGGGAGACTCCCCAGTTGTTGTTTCCTCCTGAATCCGGCTCAAAACATTCAAACTGTGCGTCACTCCGTTTCTGAAGTGACTGGCGAGTTTGCAAATCTGTAATGGGCGTGTCGCTGGGAGGCTGCTGTTGCCACGACTGACCTGTGAAGAGATACAGGCAGCAGGTCAGCATGACGGAGGCCAGAAAGCAACCAGTTGAACCAATCATTCCCAGCCAGCAAGACCAGCCGAAGTTGTAGTGGATTCCCAGGAATACGTTGTGTAGCACCAGAGTGGCTCTCTCCACATAGACGTCCACCGCGTACCACACAGAGCCCACCATGCCCAGGACGCCTGGACAAAGAACAAAGTCAGCTGAGAAACAGCAGCACGGAACGCCCCCGGCGCGCGTCCACCGGCCACTCTCCTTGCGAGGCCGGGCCAGGCCAGCATGGCCAGAGCTGCCAAGCCCAAGGCTTCAAACATCCTGAACCACACTCCAAAAGCCAGGAGATTTTTTAAAAAGATTCAGTGTTGGGGGGGTGAGAGCAGTAAAATCTCCCTGCACCCCTGGGGCGAGGGAACTGGCTTCCTCTCCCTCACCCTCTGCCTCTCCCACGATTGTCCTTTTCATCCCCTCCCCCGTCTCCTTTGCGGCACCCAGCATCACCCCTGCTCACGTTTCCCCTCCACGCTCCCGGCAGGCTCCTTCTCCCACCTGCCCATCAGTTTATTGTCCCGCACGTTTCCCTCCCAGCCTCCTACTCCTCACCCTCTGCCTCTCGGCCCCCGCTCTGCCTGCACCCCGCAGCCTCTTTCCGCATCTCAAGCAACCCCTCACTGCCTCTCTCTCCAGCTCCCCCCATTTCCTCCTCCCCCTAAATGCCTAGCTCCCTATTACACTGTGCAGGCCACAGTGGAGGGAGGAGCAGCCGTGGAGGGTGGAGCGACACCGCACACGTCTGTTTTTCAGCCCCAGCCCGCCTTGCCCCGGGGAACAGCCCTAGAAAGGGCTACATTGCCGCGCTTAGGCAACTACTGGTGGCTCAATGGGGATGCTTCACAGTTACCAGGGTCGGCTGGTCAGGAGAGGGACGTGCACCTGCATCTCTAAAACACAAGGGCTCTTTGCAAAGCTGCCAGCAGGGGGAGTCCTTCCTGATTGCAGATGGGCAATACCTGCCATATGCCAGGAGTGGCTCTGGGGACCCTTGCTCCAGCGTCACAGCATCAAGGACAGAGGCAGCTCCCAGCCCAGCAGGTGCAGAGTGGCAGGTGAATGTTCGCTTGGTGGACTGAGGAGCCCCTGGCAGAGTGTTGGATCCCAGTGAGAAAAATATCCCACTGGGCAGAGCTGCCTGCTGCGTCCTGCAGGACATCTGTGAGGTAAATGGGGGGGGGGGAGGCTGGGGAGGAGCTGTCCCCAGATTGGGGGCAGTGACAAAGTGGCTTTTTGCTGACTTTGAGCCAGCCAGACACCAGGTTTTACCTGTAAGCTATTATTACCATGGAGCTATGTGCTTGAGGGAGCACTTCCGTGGTCAGCCACTGTATGTTCTGTGCTGGCGCCTTCTCTGGCCGGGCGCGTTTGGTGCCACTCAGAAGGGAGTAGCTCTTGCTATATATTTATCCGTGGGACTGGGTGTCTTCCTGAAGCCAGGACTTGTGTGGCGCTAAGTGTGCCTCTCTGCACCTTGCGCGCTTGGATCGCACCCTGTGTCCTACTGCGTTTGCGGTCAGCTAAAAAGACCACTCGATTATCTAACACGAGAACTTTATTGGGTGGAAATAAGCTGTGCTGAAAATCCACGTGCAGCATTCTGCACATTTCTCACCCCTCCGAACGGGGTGAAAATTTACAATGAGAGTGGAAGTAAACCAGGATTTCCATTTGACACACAGATGCAGTTTGCTGTGGCTTCACATCCCCGGTCGTGGTGCCCGCAGGTCCGTGTGTGTGCAGCGGTGGGTTTCCTCGCTGGCCCCCAGTGTGAAGAGCCAGGAGTGAGAACACACGGCCATGTGGGATGTTGGGGGTGCGGTACAGAGGAATTATCGTGGTTTTCTCCAGAGAACGCAAAAGCTGGAGAATCCAGGGCGTGGGGGTCTGTAAACCAACTGGGGGCTGCAGCTTTTGGACTTGATGCCTGATAAGACCCTTCATGCCCCAGTGCAATTCCCCTTCTTTGCTCTGCTGGGACCCCAGGGCCTCATTCCTATGCTCTCTCCTTCTCCCATTCTGGCAGTCCCACTGGCACGCCAAGCCTCTGTCCACGGTCCCTGGCTTGAAGGGTCTTGCAGAACATGTCCCTCTTGGGCCGCCTCTTCCTGCTCCTCCTCAGAGTCAACATTCGGTGAGCAAAGAGGGGGCGCCCCTCCTGGCCACCATGCTGGAAGCGGCTGGCAGAAACCGAGAGACGCACCGTTGGGTTTAAAGCAGGGCCGGGAACCTTTTCGGGCTTGGGGGCCACTGACCCACCGAAAAATCAGTTGGGGGCCTCACACAAGTGAGAAGCAAGAGAACCCCCGAATCCCTACTGCCGTGGCTCCTGACTGAGAAGGAGACATTCCCCTCGCGCACTAAAGCCTACGGGGCCCAGGCTAGTAGATTTTGTGTCTTCCAGCTCGGCAGGGTGACAGGGGTGGGAAGAGGCTGGAGCGCCAGTGCCAGCTCCCCAATTTTGGGAGGGGAGCCCTGAGCCTTGGGGGCCTGACCCAGGCAAGCCAGGGGCTGCATCCAACTCCCAGGCCTTAGGTTCCCCGCTCCTGATTTAACGTTACAAGGGAACGGGAACGGGAGGTTTCAAAGCTCCCCTGGCTTATTCCCACAAACGCTGCTAATCAGACCTGTGAATCGACACGTCAGTTTTGCAGACCCTGGCACAGCCCGCTGCCCGGCCCCAGCGGCGGGGGTGCGGCCTGCCAGCAAGGAGGCAGGGAAGGAGCAATGGCGTTTCAGTCCCTGCACCATGGGCACAGGGCAATGACACAGGCCACTGGCTCTAGGTTTGCCAGACAGTGGTAGCAGCCAGTGTCTAACTCCAGAGGGTCACAAAGGCACAGAGGACAGGGTCACTGCTGGCATCCCAAAGCTGCCGGGCTTGGCTGGCACTAGCCTGCTTGCTGCAGCGATGCCAGCTGAACTGCTGACCGAGCGGTGTGGGGACCTGTCCTGCCAGGGAGGAGGAAATAAAGCACCCTCCTTAGAAACCTTAGCGGGAGGACGGCAGGGCAGAGCCTCTCAGCCGGAGCAAAGGGAGCCCTAGGCACATGCGCAAGGTGCTCCGGGTTCTCCCCACCCCTCCCGAATCTGAGAGGGGCTGTAGCTCTCGCTCTTCTCCGAGGAGTGAACCAGCAGCACCTCACTGCCTCTGCCTCGTTAACACGGGGACGGGCGACTGCGAACACGGAGGAGATGCCCTTGCAGACGAGTCCCGTCTGCTCACTGCTGGGACCAGCTGGAGACGGGAAGCGTGGCTGAGAGCCCTGCCGGGTCCCTCCTCTTCCTCTTCCTCTTCCTCGCTGGTCATGGCAGGAATCTCTTGTCTGAGGGATCCAGAGCAGACGGGGCTTCTGGAGGGGGCCTCTCCAAGCAGGGCAAAGGGGCAGGTGTGCATGGCAGCCCCAGGCCCGAGCTGTTCTCCCTGGCCTGGCAGCACACGGGGAAAACACCTTCGCTCTCCCCCAGCTCTGCTGCGGTCCCGGCCCCGGCTGCTCACAGTGTCCAGGTTCCTGGGGCTGCGCTTGCAGAACCTCTTCTCCCAGAGGCTCAGGAGGTTCAATTCCTTTGGCTCTAGGCAGCAGCAGCGCCCTGAGCACTTTCCTGCCTGTGTGGAGCTGAGCCCGCCAGCTTGGCTGGGCAGCTGCATGTAACAGAGATAGAGGTAGAGGCAGCTTCTGGTCTCCACGACCCGTGGGCAGGGGCAGGGGTGTTTCAAACTGAGCAGAGCGGTCACTGGCGCAGGGAAAGGGACACTGATGGATACCGGTTGGGGTCTCATGGGTCCTGCCATGTCTACCCTGCATGCCCCTGAGCTTGGCTTTGAGCCCTGCAGGGAGGTGGTTTTACTGCATCACCCTAATGGGGTGCTGACATCAGCCAGAGAGATGGGCCTGGTTTTACAGCAGGACACCTACAAAGCACTTTCCAGCAAGCATTGTTCAGAATGTTTTAGGTGTAACCGCCTGCTATGGGTGGGTGGAGGCCTGGCTGGGAGAGGCAACCCGCCAGCTCCACCCCTCCTTATGAGGCACCACTTCTCCCCCGCAGGGGCAGGGCAGCACACCCCTCCCCACCCCCAGAAGTGAGTGCACCCTGGCCTGGCCCAGCCACAGCCACATTTTGTCCCTAGACTGCCTGGGGCAGAGCATGGGCAGGGCCATGCCTGGTCATTTGGGAAGGCAGAGCCTTCCCCTGCCTAACATACCAGGTGCCTGTGCCGCCGGCAGGTGAAATCAAACCTGTTACCTCTGGAGCTTACTGTAGGCACCCCTACAGCTCGAGCTACAAAGCCAGCTGCTTCTCAGCGGAGGCTGTGGAGTTCCCTCGTTCTTATCGGTCGCTGTTCGTGGGCCAAGTGCCACTCCATGGGACAGTGACCCGCTCCCACTTCCGCTCGGTGGCTGGCTACATACGTACACTTCCCCCTGACATGTAAGTACCCTATTTCGATCGCAGCTGGTTAATGCCGTGCTTAGATAGTGAAAAGGGGAGTCGGCCTCGTCTCAGTAGCAGTGTGTGGTGACGCTGCTGCAGGGTTATGTCTGACTTTGAAAGCCAGTAGCTGTTAAGGGAGGTGTAGCGTGGGGGTACACGAGACAAATCAGGCGCTTGAAAGGGGGCATGGGTCTGGGAAGGCAGAGAGCCAATGCCCTACAGCCATCTGCTCAATGTCTTACTCCCTTCAGACAGCCCACGCCACACCCCATATCCCCCCTCCCGGCCTGACCCCTTCCTGCTCAGCACTCTTCTAACTGCCTAGCTCCGCAGCCCCAATGGCGCTCCGCCAGCCCCACGCCCGAGGTCAGTGGCCTCAGAGGCCAGTCGCCCCCGCTTTGTCACAGCCCAGGTGGGCGGTGGGGGCGGCGGTTCACTTACTGCCAAGGCCCAGCGTGAAGCCGCCCGCGTAGCACATCTGCAGCTTGATCCGGGGCGCGTCCTTGAGGAACTTGATGCAGTCCAGACCCAGCAGCAGCATGACCAAGGCGGAGCCGGCCAGAATGTCAGCTGCGATCAGCAGGGCTCGGGTCACCACGATCTTCACTGAAAGAGCAACCAAAGCAAAAAAACTGGACAGATCAGCGAGGCCTGGGCTCCAGAGCCCGTCTGCCCTGCTCGACTGGGAATACCTGGGCTGCTGGAACCCACCGGCCCCCTCGGGTCCGAGCCAAGGGCACAAGCCTGTCACACCCCAGCGGCAGAGCTGCGGCTCTTCAGCTCATGCAGGAACAGGGGAGCTTAGCCAGGGAGGCCCCTGCTGGAGAGGGCGGCAGTCCCACAAGAGAGGCCACTGCTTAGCATGTTGCCCATTAGCATCTCCCCCTTTCCTTGCTGAGTCCGCCTAGAGTCTGACACTTAGCTCCGGAGCTCTGATTCAGATTGGCACGGTGCCGACCTCCCTGGGCCGTGCCGGGGCCCCCTACTCAGTACTATGAACAATACATATAAAGAGAGGTCACAGCGTGATCCATAGCTGGGTCTCATGCTGCTAGCATCAGCCTCCTCGCTGCTGCAAGGATTTCGCCATTGGGTATGTCTACACTGCAGGGTTTGTTTGGAAAAACGGCCGTTTTCCCCCAAAAACCTTCCCCACTGCAATTGCTTTTGTTTGGAAAACCCCC